GACAGAGTAGAACTGCCCCTTAGGGTTTCCAAGGAGTGGCTGGGGGATTTGAACTGCAGATCTTTTGGTTAGCAGTCTGAGCTTTTAACCACTGTGCCACCAGGGCACCGTTATTTAAATAGCATTACAAAATAGTGATATCCTAGTTCTGTCATCCCTCCTATGTTTATTAGCTAGATTCTGTTATGTAGAAAACCTTTTTCTCATCAGCTGTTTGGTTACCCTGAGGTACAGTTTATATAAGAAAGGCTGAATCAGTGTTGATTTCCTCTCTCCCATATTTCCCAGTTTTCTCTGGCATACTCTAAAGCAGTGGTTCTCAACTGGCCGGGGCGGGGGGTGCAGTTGTGCCACTAGGGAATATCTGAGATGCCTGGAGACGTGTTTGATTGTCACAAGTGTGGGGGTTGCTACTGGTATCTCTTGAGTAGAGGCCAGGGATGCTGCTAAACATCCTATAATGCACAGGGCAGCCTCCACAGCAAAGGATTATGTGGCCCAGTGGTCGGTAGTGCCAAGGTTGAAAACCCTCCTGAAGGTGTGTGGTGAGCGTTTTCCTTTTAAGTGTCATTGGGAACTCAGTAGTTGATAATGTTTTAGTTCATATAAATCATTTTTAATGTTTTTTTCTTATAGAAAATTTCAAACATATAGAAAAATAGGGAGGATCCTCTAATGGACTTTCATGTATCGATCATCCAGCTGAAACAGTCACCAACTCATGACCAATCTGTGTCCTGTGTACCCAACCTGGATTATTTTGAAGTAAATCCAAGACATCGTATTGTTTCATCTGTAAATAAATCAGCATGTTTTTCTACAAGATGTTTGTTAGGTGCCATTGAGTCGAATTCTGACTCATGGCAACCCCATATGACAGTAGGACTGCCTGTAGAGTTTTCTAGGCTGTGATCTCTATGAGAAGGAGCCCTGGTGACACAGTGGTTAAGCACTCTGCTGCTAACCAAAAGATCAGTGGTTCAAACCCACCAGCCGCTCCATGGGAGAAAGATGTGGCAGTCTGCTTCTGTAAAGATTACAGCCTTGGAAATCGTATGGAGCATGTCCAGTAGGGTCGCTGTGAGTCACAGTTGACTTGATAGCATCTGTTTTTTTTTTTTTCACAAGTTTAATTTCTGCAAGAGCCGATCGCCAGGTCTTTCACCCAAGGAGCTGCTGGGTGGGTTCAAAATGCCAACCTTTTGGCTAGCTGCCGAGCGCTTAACCGTTGTGCCACTAGGACTCCTTCCTGTTTATAAAGGGGGCGTGGTGGTGGTGTTAGTTGCCATCAAGTTGACTAGAAATCATGGCAACCCATGCGTGCAGAGTAGAACTGCCCCATAGGGTTTTCAAGGCCGTGACCTTTCCGAAGCAGATCGCCAGGCCTGTCTTCTGAGACCCCTCTGGGTGGGTTCAAGCCACCCACCTTTCAGTTAGTATTTGAGTTAGTGTATGACTCATGGTGACCCTGTGTGTGTCAGAGTTGAACTGTGCTGCGTAGGGTTTCCAGTCGCTGCGTTTTCAAAAGGAGATCTCCAAGCCTTTCTTCTAAAGTACCCCTTAACCGCCAGTCTTTTTTTTAGCAGCTGAGGTCATTACCATTTGTACCACCCAGGAACAATCTGGATGTTAAGAACACTTAGTTCTCCTGGGTTATTCCTTGTTTCCAGGCCCATTTAGTGATCAGACCTAGGAAATGCTTGTTGGCTGTTTTTCCAAGGAGAAAATACATTATGAATATACCTGTTTTCAGTTTAAAGTTAGGATAAAGGATTTTTACTTTTTTTAATTTTATATTTGTATCTCATTTTTTTAGCAGAAAACCTTGCTTCCTACTGACATTAACACTATCACTTTTATTTGTTTGCTACTAATGGCGCCCTGGTGACGCAGTGCCATGTGTATTCTCTAAGAGGACAGAGGCTTTCTCTGTAGCTCTCCTCACTTCCTTCTGAACTCTCACCAGAATTATCTTTGATCTCCGTAATTCTACCAACAGTCTCTTCAGAGCAATCTAGGCTTTTACTGTTAAGTCAAACCAAACCCATTGCCCATCAATTACAACTCAATAGCAAACCCACAGGACAGAGTAGAACTACCCAATAGGGTTTCCAAGGCTGTAAATCTTTTCAGAAGCAGACTGCCACATCTTTCTCCCAAAGAGTAGCTGGTGGTTTGGACCACTGACCTTTCAGTTAGCGACCAAGCACTTAACCACTGCACCACCAGGGCTCTTTATTAGGTACCTTAAAACTCTTCCAGCCTCTACCCATTACCCAATTCCAAAACCACTTCCACATTTTTGCTGTCTGTTAGAGCAGCACCCCCACTTCTTAGTGCAAAATTCTGTCTTAGTTATCTAGGGCTGCTGTAACAGAAATACTACAAGTGGATGGCTTTAACAAACAAATTTATTTTCTCACAGTTTAAGAGGCTAGAAGTCTGAATTCAGGGCACTGGCTTTAGGGGAAGGCTTTCTCTCTCTGTCGGCTCTTGGGAAGGTTCTTCCTTGTCTGTTCAGCTTGTTTCCTGGTTCCTGGGAGATTTCCCTGTGGCTTGGCATCAATCTTCCCCCATCTCTGCTTGCTTGCTTGTCCTAATCTGCTCTTTTTATACCTTGTAAGAGATTGACTCAAAACACAGCCTACACTAATCTGCCTCATTAACATATCAAAGACAGGCAATTCCCAAATGAGATTATAACCACAGGCATAACTAGTTGGCATGGAGTCAATTCCGACTCATAGCAACCCTATAGGACAGAGTAGAACTGCCCCATAGGGTTTCCAAGGCTGTAATTTTTATGGAAGCAGACTGCCACATCTTTCTCCCGAGGAGTGTCTGTAGGTTTAAACCGCCAACGTTTTGGTTCACAGCCGAAACCAGGACTCCTCCTCTATGAGGGTAAGACTCTGGTTTTTGCTGTTATATTGCCAGTGTCAAGTACAGTCTCTGGTGCGTACTAAAGAAGCTGAATAATTTTGAATGAATGAATGATTGTAATTAAAATTGTAAATATGTTTTCCTCATCTTTCAAATATTAATCTTAGGTTTACATGGCTTAATATATGATAATAAAACTGAATCTATGAGGACAATTAACCTCCTTGAACGAATGAATATTTACCAAGAAGTTTTTCTCAGTATTTTATATAAAGTTCTACCCATACAGGTACGTTGTGTGTTTTGTGACATTGAATTGAATTTTTGTCGGATGAAAGTCAAAATCTGCCATTTTAAATGGAAGATTTTACATACGTTCTTCAGACCTTTAGCTGGCTGGGCATAAACTCAGCACTGTCCTGATTTCCTACGTGTATATTGCGAGCTTGGCTTTTTGTTTCTATTTTATAAGGTATTTTTCACATATAAATGCTTCCTGGCTTATCTCATAATGTATGTGTGTGGTCTAGAAGTTGATAAATATTATCATTTGGAAACTTGTAATCGCTCCTGATTTATCTTTGAGATAAACAGTTTTTGGAAAATTAGCCAATCACAATGACTCTTTCTCATGTGAATGAGGAAAAATTAGACCAAATCAGGTATGAAGCGTGCCTAGAGTAGAGTCTGAAGCCGGAACCCTCAAGGGCTTTCTTCCTTCTTCTGCTCTTGGCAATGGGAAGAAAGGCCGCTAGTGCACTTCTAGATGGAAAGAGGGGGTGCGGGCTTATCGTTTGGAGTTACCGGCCAACTTCTGGTTTAAATATGTCCTATGCCGTACTTTTTAAATGGTAATGAGAGGATTTGGGCTTCTCTAACATCATGTGTTGTTCCCTTTTACAGAAATACTTAGAGCCAGTGTATTTTTATATTTACACCTTATTTGGGCTCCAGGCGATCTATGTCGCAGCTCTGTATGTAACCAGCTGGCTCCTTAGTGGCACATGGCTGTCAGGACTATTGGCGGCTTTCTGGTACGTTACAAACAGGTGAGTTGGAAGTGGTGTGCCTCTCCCTTTCTGAAATGTAAGCACAGATGAAGTCACTTCATTTCTAAGTCAGAGAAACTTGTTCTGCCACATTTGTTTGGGAGGGAGCATTGTCTCTTTGGTTTACCTGCCAGTGTTTATCTTTCTTATTTAATAAGACAGAAAGTCCTGCTTATTTATATTTCCAGCTAAGGAATAGGACATTGAATTGCAAGTCAAAACAGTCATCTGTAATAATCCCAATTCTGTTACCAGTTTTCTATATAGTCAGTATTTTTCCAGCCACATATCTCATCTTTTAAAGAAATTTAATAATATCTTCACTATCAGCCTTAATAGGGTTGTGTGAGGCTCACAATTAGCAAAGCATAAAGCACCATACAAATGTAAGGGAGTTCTTGCATTATCTAATTAATATCTACAATTAATTTCTAAATACTGGATTTTTATGAAACAGTATTTTTTTAAACTCCTGTTGCATTGTTGCGTGACCTATAGTAGCAAAACCCATATTCAGTGAGGAAGGGTCTTACCGCTTAAACAGTAGTTCTAACGCTGATTTTTAGTTTTATAATCCTAAGCAAGTTACTTTTTATTAGAACCTTATTGGGTGCTTACTATATACAAAGCACTTTGCAAATGCTGTATATGTATTATTCTTCTAACAACCCTATAAAGTAAGTACTAGTATTCTCATTTTAGAGATGAGAAATTGAGGTTTAAAAGGTTAAGTAATCTATATAAGGTCATAGCTGAGTCTTGGTCAGGATTCAAACTTGGGGTGTGGGACCACTATGGTATCCTGCCTCATAACATTTTAATCTAACATACTATTCCGCCCAAGAGTGAATGAAAGTCAAATTTATTATTACTATTAGGAGTAAACAAAAAGCGTTTATTGAATGCCTAGTGTATGTAGTGGTAGCTCTTGGTGCTGGGTATACAGAGTTGAAAACTGACCTGTGCTTGCACTCTGGGTTCACGTTCTAGAGAGGCAATTTTTTCTAAAAATTATTGCCAGGGACAAATTGAAGACTCAAGTGTTGTAAAGCACTAAAGAAGTACAAAGACGGAGAATGTCAAGCATTGCCTGTTGGCACTAGTGAAGCTAGAGAGAAGTAAAAGTGAGAGGCAGTGTGGCATGATACATTCATGCAGTATGTATGTTAAAGTCAGACTGACACGGTTTGAAGCCCATCTCCACCGCTTAGCATAGCCCGAGACGAGTTACGTACATTTTCTCAATGTCAAGTGTATATTGCAGGAATGATGATGACAGTTGCAATTAGTATTATTGAAAACCAGTGACCAGACTCTAAGTCTGGACTTAATGTAATATATTTTTCATTTTTAGAACTTTTTAAGGTAATTAGTGTAAAAGTTACCAGTTTGGCCAATTGTGTTTTATTTTTGTGCAGAATAGATACCACAAGAGTTGAGTTTACCATTCCACTGAGGGAGAATTGGGCACTGCCGTTCTTTGCGATTCAGATAGCAGCAATTACATATTTCCTGCGACCAAATTTACAGCCTCTTTCTGAAGTAAGTTTTTGTAATACCTTATATATTTTTAAATTTCACAGTTTTATATAAGAAGCTTCAGGAACTGTGATGTGCACACAGTGTCCCGGTGCATGTGAATAGTTCATACTCCGTGACCGATTATTTAACTGGAGGTTTTCTTTTTCTGAGCTTTTTCCTACTTTGCAAAGAAAGTGTTTTCATTTTTGGTGTTAAAAATGTACTCTCCATAATCTACCCTTAAATAGTTGCGGCAAACCCCCCCCCCCATTTTGTGCAAAACTGTCAGAATTTTCAAGCCATTGCTCTGGAGATGGGATTTAGTGCGTTATCCCCTCCGTAATAGTGTGCAGTCCACATACCGTACGTGAGTATTTATGTGCAGAGTGTCACTGTAGGATAGTTAGAGCTTAAGTAACAAGCGCAAGGGTTTTCAGAGCAATCGTTTATGGTTTTTCTGTTTGGTTTCTAGAGATATTGGCTGCTCTTGAGAAAACTTGTCTGCAAGGCTTTTTATTACAAGAGATGTGCAAATTATACAAATTTTTCTTTTTACAGAGGCTGACACTTCTTGCCATTTTCGTATCAACGTTTCTCTTTAGCCTGACGTGGCAGTTTAATCAGTTTATGATGCTGATGCAGGCGTTAGTCCTGTTCGTGCTGGACTCCTTAGACATGCTCCCAGCAGTGAAGGTAGGTGTCGCTCTCTTTTCTCAGGGGAGGTTTTCATCGTCTAGTGTTTAATGCCATAGAATGAGCTCAGAAGATGCACATGCTTAATAATAAAGCTGAAGCCTCTTCTTGGCTCCTAGTGTGTATGTGCTGGGATCAGTGGAAGCTGAGTCATGTGTGGAGCCTAGGTTGACCCCCTTCACTTTTATTCTGGGTATTTTTAGTGAAAAGATGGAGTTGTTTGGGACACATGCCTGGGTCAGTTGTCTTTTATAGAGATGACTTACAAATGTAAGCTGGGCATTTTAAAGTTTCTTACTGTGTGTTGCCTTCTATTTCAAGGAACTCAAAAGGGTGTGTAACAATTTTTCTGTTGTACTTTATAAAATTTTCATAGAACCATTTAACCAATATGGGATGTGTATCCCTTGGACTGGTCAAAGGTCACATATGAAATAAGGCAATAAAAAGAGGCCCATAATCTGTCTCCCAGTCTGTGCTGCTACCATTTAATAGTATGATTTTTACACATGTACAGACATGTTTTAATATATTGTGTGCACGTTTTTTAGATTGCTCGTAGTTACTATTCTAAAGTAGCTATTCTAAGTATTTTCCAAGTGTAATAAAAAATTGTGGGACGTTGACGTTTCAGTGATGTAATTCTTGCCTTCTATGCGGAGACGCAGGCTCGATTCCCAGCCAGTGTACTGCATGCAGCCATTATAATGCTATAATGCTGAACATCAGGGCTTCCAGACTAAGACAGTAGGAAGAAAGGCTCGGTAATCTGTTTCAAAAAATCAGCCAGTGATAACTGTATGGATCAGAATGGTCCAGTCTGTAGCTGATCATGGGGATGGCACACGTTGTGTGTGTGGAGTCGCCATGAGTCAGCTGACTTGACAGTAGACAACAGCAACAACAGTTGTCTCCAGATCTACGGCAGCAGGGTAGCCCACTCATTTATTCCGTATCGAAAGAGATGGTGTAAGCTCTGGAAATTAAATGGGTCTGAATTAGGAAACATTTAACCAACAAATATCCATTGGCTGTCTGCTGAGCCACTATAATAGGATAGGCACCACAGAACTTACAGATGTAAGATATTGCCCCTGTCTGCACGGAGCTCACCGTCTAGCTTGGGAAATAAAGATAACAGAAAAATAGAACAACTGGAGAAATGTTAGATGTCAAATTGTAGTAATGATAGCACTAGAAGTCTAGAAGAAAAAAATTTCTTTTTAGGCTGGAAAGATTTTACAGAAATGGGAAACTTGAGCTGGACCACAAAGGAAGAGAGTAGGATTTGGGTGGAGTGTAAATGGGACAGACTGAGAAAGTAAAATGCAGTAAGGAGAGCAAGTAGAAAGATTGGCCAAGTTAAAAAATATATAATACTGAGTATTTAGATAGGTATGAAGCCGTGGGCATTCACACACTGCTGGTAACACATTAAATTGGTACAATCTTTCTGTAGTATACTTTTGCAGTAGGTATCAAAAGCCTAAAAATAGTTATTTCCTCTCAACAGCAGTTGCACTTCTGGAAGTTAATACTAAGGAAATAAACAATAATTAGTTGTATTATAATAAGGAAAACCTGGAAACAACCTCAATGAATAGCAATAGGGCACTGTGAAGTAAATTATGGTGTATCTGTGTAAGGAAGTATAATGTACCCGTTAGTTTTTACCTCACCTTCCTTTTTTAAAGTAAAATATCTACAGAGAAAGTGAGAAGAGGTTCTGGAAAGGTGTACATCACAGTGTTAACAGTCAGCTGTATGGTTGATGTTCTGTGTATTCTTTTTGTTCTTTAGATCTTTTGATTTTTTTTTTTCTGCGGTGAACTTGTATTTCTTTTAAATTTAGAAAAAAGAAAAAAGGTACTGTTTTGGCACACGCACAAAATTAAAGAATAATACAGCTAATTTATCTCATATTCAATTCTAAGCTTCATTAAACTTTTATATTTGAAACTATGTTGTTGTTAGAAGTAGTTATAAGTGTCAAAATTTAAGAAGGAACAGTATTATAATGAAAGGATCCTGAGTTATAAAAGCATGTTGCTAGGATCAGCTCTGAAAATAACTTAGCTGTTAAAACTCCTGCAAGTCATTTAACTACTCTGAGCCTTCATTTCTTTATATATTAGAGTCACTGATCTCTAATCATGTCAAATGAAAGAGTCAGGATAATTGGTGTAGAAAAAAAAGTAATCCAAATTCACAGCACAGTGTGATAAAAAAGAAGCAGTATCTTCTTTGATACGTATCATCTTCTTTTCATGGATGATGGAAAGTCTCTTTGCAGCAAAAGCCCAAGTTTCCAGTCAGAGATGTGTACAAGGGTTTTTAAATATAAAGCAGAATGACAAATGGTATTATTAAGCATACACTTTTCATTCATTAAAGGCTAAAAATACAAAGGTTAGTAAAGTTTTAGTAATCCATTTTAGAAAAGCAAGACACAATAATGATAAATGCCTAAGAGATCACTTTAAAATATTCCACACAGTTCCAGACAAGATGGAGTAGATACATTTCTTCTGTTCTGCTAAGTACAGCTAAAAACCCTGGACAGTATATATAAACAAGCATACCAAGATTTGGAAAGTGGAGATAACAAAGCAGATTGCCTAGGGACCTGGAGACTCGAGGTAAAACAGTGAGTTCCCTGGGTTTTATGCCTCATATGTCCCAGACTAGGTGCTGGAGAAGCCAGCAACTCAGAAACGCCAGCGGACTCAGAGGTATCAGTGAAGGCGCCGGGGAGCCTGGATCTCCATCCCCATCCAGTGGTAATACAACATCCGTTCCCTTCCTTGCCAGGATGGTGTTAGAGGATGCCAGACGGGAAATGGGGGCTTTCACTACCACTTAGGGATAACAATTCCCAACCCCACCCCGTGGTGTTATTGAAGGCCGTGTGAGGAACAGGAAGGAGACCGGCCTCCCATTCCCAGCCAAGATGGCGTCAGTGGAGGCTTCGTAGAGAGCGTGAGCCTTCACCCAGCAGTAAACAGGCATCCTCCCCCCTCATCCCAGAGTATTAGTGGGAGCCGAGTGAGGAGCCTAGACGTCCACTCCCACCTGGAAACAAGGAAGCAGTGCTCTTCTTCTCCCACTGGCACGACACGGGTGGGGTCAGAGGAGGCCAGCTGACACAGAAGATTGATCCAGAGTCTCATAACATGATACTCAGAATGAACAGTATACAACTGAAAATCACTCGTCGTACTAAGAACCAGGAAAATCTCCAATGAGAAGACACCAACAGATGCCAACATGGAGACACACAGAACTGAAATATCTGACACGGAAGTTAAAGCAGCCTTCATTAAAAAAAAAAAAAGTTTCATCCAGCAAGTACAGACAGGCTTGACAATATAGAAGTTCTCATCAAAGAAATAGAAGATAGAAAGAAGAACCAAATGGAAATTTTAGAAGTGATAAATTTCAATAACGAAAAATTAAAACTCCCTGTGGACTCAGCAGGAGAATAGAGAGGCCAGAGGAAAGAACCAGTAAGCCTGAAGGTATAGAACAATAGAAATTACCTAATCTGAACAACAAGACAAAATAAATGGGGAAAAAATGAGCAGAGCTTTCAAGGACCTGTGGGACTATAACAAAAATTCTTAACATTCATGTCATCAGAGTCCCAGAAGGAGAGGCTAAAGATTGTGGAGCTGAAAAAGTATTCAAAGAAATTATAGCTGTAAGTTTCCCAAATTTGGCAAAAAACATAAACCTACAGATTCAAGAAGCTGAGCTAACCTCATACAGGATAAACCCAAGTAAATCTATGCCAAAACACGTCACAATCAAACTCCTGAAAACTAAAGGCAAAGAAAAAAAATCTTGAACAAAAACAATACATATACAGGTGTCTTAGCCATCTAGTACTGCTGTAACAGAAATACCACAAGTGGATGGCTTTAACAAGAGAAGTTTATTTCCTCACAGTAAAGTAAACTAAAAGTCCAAATTTAGGGCATCAACTCCAGGGGAAGGCTTTCTGTCTCTGTCGGCCTTCTCTTCAGTCTTCCCCCAGACTAGGAGCTTCTCTGCGCAGAGACCCCAGGTTCAAAGGACGTGCTTTGCTCCCAGCACTGCGTTCTTGCTGGTATGAGGTCCCCTCTCTCTGCTTGCTTCCCTTTCCTTTTATCTCTTGAGAGATAAAAGGTGGTGCAGGCCACATTCCAGGGAAAACTCCCTTTACGTTGGATCAGGAATGTGACCTGGGTAAGGGTGTTACAATCCTACCCTAATCCTCTTTAACGTAAAATTACAATCACAAAATGGAGGACAGCCATACAACACTGGGAATCATGGCCTAGCCAAATTGATACATACATTTTTGGGGGGACACAATTCAATCCATGACAAAGGGAAAAACGATAAAATGATAGTGGATTTCTCATCAGAAACCTTAGAGGCTAGAAGGAAATGGCACAATATTTTTTCGATGCTGAAGGAAAAGAATTGTCCACCCAAAATCCTATAAAGAGAAACTCAAGACATTCTGAGATGAAGGAAAACTAGTAGGAATTTGTTGCTAGCAAATCTGCTCTAAAGGAAAGGCTAAAAGAAGTTCTTGAAATAGAAAGGAAGTGATTTGACAGAATTTGGAAATAACAGAAAGGAAGAAAAAGCAACAAGAAAAGTCAAAATATGGGTAAATAAAATAGACTTTCCTTCTCCACCTGGCATTTTCTAAATTATGTTTCATGATTGAAGCAAAAATTATAATATTGTCTTGTGTGGTTCTCAGTGTATGTAGAAGAAATATTTAAGACATTTATATACGGGAGGGTAAATTGACTTAAATGGAATTAAGGTTTCTACAGTGGTAAAATGTCAACAACAAAAGGAGAATGAAGAAAACCTAAGACACAAGGAAAATGTTAGTCCAGAGGACTAATGGACCACATGAACCACAGCTTCAATCAGACTGAACCCTGAAGAACTAGATGATGCCCAGGTGCCACCACCAATGGCTCTGACAGAGATCACAA